GCTCCACCGAAGGCCCCAGTGGCGGTGTTCGCATGCGGGTCCCCCACCCAGGGCAGCGCTTCGTGGCCCCATAGGGGGCTCCACCGAAGGCCCCATTGGGGGTGTTCTCATGCGGGTCCCCCACCCTTCGTGGCCCCATAGGGAGCTCCACCGAAGGCCCCACTGGGGGTGTTCGCATGCAGTTCCCCTACCCTGGGCAGCGTTTCGTGGCCCCATAGGGAGCTCCACCGAAGGCCCCAGTGGGGGTGCCCGCATGCTCTCCCCCACCCAGGGCAGTCCCAGTGGCACCGCCCGCATGCGCCAGCCACCACCCAGCACAGCCCTTGTTCCCTGCGTTTCACCCACCCAGTACAGCGTTTCGTGGCCCCATAAGGGGGATCCAGCGAAGGTCCCAGTGGCATCGCCCGCATGCGTCCGCCACCACCCAGCACAGCCCTTGCTCCCTGCGCTTCGCCAGCCCAGTGCAACGCTCCGTGGCCCCATAGGGAGCTCCACCGAAGGTCTCACTGGCACCGCCCGAGTGCGTCAGCCACCACCCAGCACAGCCCTTGCTCCCTGCCCTTCGCCCACCCAGTACAGCGTTTCGTGGCCCCATAGGGAGCTCCACTGAAGGTCCCAGTGCCGCCGACCGCATGCGTCAGCCACCACCCAGCACAGCCCTTTGTTCCCTGCGTTTCACCCACCCAGTACAGCGTTTCGTGGCCCCATAGGGAGCACCGAAGAAGATATTCATAATTGCGGTACTCACAACTGCATATGGTTGGGTCCTTCGCCAGGATAGTTTCAACTTCCCAGTGCAGCGTTTCGTGGCCCCGTAGTGAGCTCCACCGAAGACCCCGTGGGACCGCCCGCACGCTTCCAGGAAACCAAATTTGGCGTTTTCGCGTGCCACGTGCAGCGCTTCGTGGCCCCATACGGAGCTCCACGGAAGCCCCCAGTGGGACCGTCCGCGTGCGTCCCAGAAACCCAATTTGGCACGTTCACCCACCCAGTACAGCGCGTCGTGGCCCAATAGGGAGCTCCACCGAAGACCCCAGTGGGACCGCCCGCGTGCGCCCCGGAAGCCCAGTTTGGCACTTTAGCCTTCCCAGTATAGCGCTTCGTTGCCCCACGGGGAGCTCCACCGAACCCCCCAATGGGACCGCCCGCATGCGTCCCAGAATCTCAATTCCGCACTTTTGCATCTCAGTACACCGCTTCGTTGCACCACAGGGAGTTCCGAAACCCCCAGTGGGACCGTCCGCTTGCGTTTTGGAAACCCAATTTGGCATTTTGACCCACCCAGTACACCGTTCGTTGCCCCACAGGGAGCTCTACGGACCGTACGGAAGGCTCCAGTGGGACCGCCCGCATGCGCCCCGGAAACTCAATTTGGCATTTTCACTCACCCAGTACACCGTTCCGCTGCCCCACGTGAGCTCCACCGAAACATCCAGTGCGTCCTGGAAAACGAATTTGACATTTTCACCCACCCAGTACAGCGTTTCGTGGCCCTCAGGGGGGGCTCCACCGAAGCCCCCAGAGGGACCGTCCGCATGCGTCCCAGAAGCCCAATGTGGCATTTCGAGCCACCCATTACACAGTTTCGTGGCTCCACAGGGAGCTCCACCGAAACCCCCAATTGAACCGCCCGCACGCGTCCTGAAAGTTCAATTTCGCATTTTCACCCACCCAATACACCGTTCCGTTGCCCCACAGGGAACTCCACCGAAAACCCCAGTGGGAGCGCCCGCATGCGCCCCGGAATTTCAGTTTGGCATTTTCACCCACCCATGACAGCGTTTCGTTGCCCCATAGGGAATGCCACCGAAACCCCAAGTGGGACCGTCCGCGTGCGCCCCGGAAACCCAATTTGGCGTTTTCATTTACTAGCTACAGCGTTTCGTGTCCCCACACCGAGCTCTACCGAAGCCCCCAGTGGGACCGTCCGCGTGCGCCACGGAAGCCCAGTTTGGCATTCTTGCCCACCAAGTACAGCGTTTCGTGGCCATTTGGGGAGCTCCACCGATGCGCCCAGTGGGACCGTCCGCGTGCGTCCCGGAAGCCCAATGTGGCATTCACACCCACCACGTACAGTGTTTCGTGGCTCCATATGGAGCTCACAAAAGCCCCCCCAGTGGGACCGCCCGCATGCGTCCGGGAAGCCCTGTTTGGCTTTTTCACCCATACAGTACACCGTTTCGTGGCCCCATAGGGAGCTCCACCGAAGCCCCCACTGGGATCGCCCGCGTGCGTCCCGGAAACCCACTTTGGCACAATCTTCAAACGTTTCGTGGCCCCATAGGGAGGTCCAACGATGTCATCAGTGGGATCGCCCGCGTGCGGCCCACACGCCAAGTTCTGCATTCCCACCCACAGAGTACAACGCTTCGTGGCCCCATAAGGGGGCTCCACCGACGGCACCTGTGCTACCGCCCCTATGCGTTCCCCCCCACCCAGTGCAGCGCTTCGTGGCCCCATAGGAAACTCCACCGAAGAAGATATTCGCAATTGCGGTGCCCATGGTCGGGTCTTTCGCCAGGATCATTCTATTTCTTAAACCAACACCAATTCCACCAGGGACCACAAGCTGGAGGAGCCAGTGAGGGGTCCCCCTGGTGGTGTGGCCTCCCCTCTCGATCGGGGCATTCCCCAGATCTGGATCTGGCTCGGGGTGGCATCGTGGACCTCCTTGTATGAGGTGGTTCCCTGGTGGTGTTGGTGTCGCTTCTCCTTCCTCCCAGCAGGGGGGCGCGCAGGGGGCGCAACCAGCACCCCGACCCCCATGTCTGGCGTTTACCTAGCAGGCCCTGGGCGTTGATCAAACAGCCCTGCATTGCTCGATTCCTTCCTTTGGCGCGTTTGCTGAGGAGCTTCACGCGCAATGTCGACATCCCCCCCTCGCAGGGGGGCCCTGATTCTATTGTGAGGGTTCGACGAATCGAATCCGGAGGTCGGCAACTATTTTTCCCCAACCCTCCTGCATTGGGTTCTCGTTTTGAATAGAGCACTGCTCGCGCGTCTCCTTCCTTCCCGCCCCCCCCGTCCCTCTCTTCCCCCCTGCCTTTGACCTCGCCATCCCTGGGGGGCTGCGATCTGTGAAACTGCCGCCGCTTTCGAGGCATGCTGGGGGGCCCAGCACAGTGGGCACACACGGCGGATTGAAATTGGACCTCGCCATCCCTGGGGGGGTGCGATCTGCGAAACTGTCGCCACTTTCGAGGCCTGCTGGGGGGCCCAGCACAGTGGGTACACACGGCGGATTGAAATTGGACCTCGCCATCCCTGGGGGGCTGCGATCTGTGAAATTGTCGCCACTTTCGAGGCCTGCTGGGGGGCCCAGCACAGTGGGTACACACGGCGGATTGAAATTGGACGTCGCCATCCCTGGGGGGGTGCGATCTGTGAAATTGTCGCCACTTTCGAGGCCTGCTGGGGGGGCCCGCACAGTGGGTACACACCGCGGATTGAAATTGGACCTCGCCATCCCTGGGGGGCTGCGATCTGTGAAATTGTCGCCACTTTCGAGGCCTGCTGGGGGGCCCAGCACAGTGGTCACACACGGCGGATTGAAATTGGACGTCGCCATCCCTGGGGGGGTGCGATCTGTGAAATTGTCGCCACTTTCGAGGCCTGCTGGGGGGCCCAGCACAGTGGGGTACACACGGCGGATTGAAATGGGACCTCGCCATCCCTGGGGGGGCTGCGATCTGTGAAATTGTCGCCACTTTCGAGGCCTGCTGGGGGGCCCAGCACAGTGGGTACTTACCGCGGATTCAAATTAGACCTCGCCATCCCTGGGGGGCTGCGATCTCTGAAACTGTCGCCACTTTCGAGGCCTGCTGGGGGGCCCAGCACAGTGGGTACCCACCGCAGATTCAAATTAGACCTCGCCATCCCTGGGGGGCTGCGATCTGTGAAACTGTCGCCACTTTCGAGGCCTGCTGAGGGGCCCAGCACAGTGGGTACCCACCGCAGATTCAAATTATACCTCGCCATCCCTGGGGGGCTGCGATCTCTGAAACTGTCGCCACTTTCGAGGCCTGCTTGCGGGGCCCCGCACAGTGACGCCTCCCAAGTAGCTTACACATCAAGTTGATTGTCCATACAAGTTTCGGCCAACTCCTCGTTTCCATTGATATAAATGGGTTGGGTACGTCACAGGGTAATTTTGTCATCGCCCCCCCCCTCCCCCCTGGTACGCCCTCCCTGGGCTCGCGCCGAGATGGCGCGCGTGATGGAGATCGCCCTGGGAGCGCCCTGGGAGCGCCCTGCGGATGGGAGGGCGACGGCTCGCCAGGGGGGGGGCCCTTCCCCGGCTCGGATCGCAGGCCCGCGGCTCCGACTCGTCGGCCCCTGGGCCTCCCCCCGTGGCCCCCGCCCGGCGGCCCAGGGGCCAACCCGAGTGGTCGCCCCGCCGTGGGCCGAGGGTCAGAGGGCGAAGCCCTTCACATCGGGGGTGGACAGGCCTCCTACCCTGACACGTCGATTAATGGAGTTGGCCGTGCTCGGTTCGCGAGAGGGCGTCGCGGCCGTCATTTTTGCGGGTCCAGGTCCGTCGGTTTCGGTCCCAGGCCGTTTTCACTAAGGGGAGGTTCACTAAAGGGAGGCTTGTCCACCGTCGATAATATTTTACACACACACACACCCAGGGAAAGGATCGAACAGCGCAGGGCTGTCCAGTAAACGACCAGGACTGTGTAGTAAGCGCCAGTAATGGGGGTCGGGGTGTTTTTTTTCCTGCATCGAGGCAGTTCGGCCCTCCGCGGCTGCGCGCGAGGCGCGCCGTTGCCGCCGTCACTCTGCCAGCCGCTCGGTGGCTTGACCCTCCAGTGTGGGGGCACCAGGGCCGGCGAAGCTATGTTTCGCTCGTCCCACCCCAATGATTGTTCAATCGCGTGCTCGCAATACTTCGCGGGATTCTTCTGAGGGCGCTTGTGTTGCCACCTGAAAGAAGGGAGCGGAAGCAGGATGGTGTCGATGAGGAGTTGGAGGAGGGTCAGGCGTAATGACAGAGGAAGGTTGGACTCGAGGATCATGTTGATAATCTTGGTGAAGGTGACGACCAGATGATGATGGTGGTGGTGGTGTTGCTGATGGTGATGGTGATGAGGATGATGCTGGTGATGATGGTGACAGAGATAGTCATGCTGATGCTGATGATATTGATGGGTCTGGTGGTGACGGGGGTGACCTAAATGAGGGATGAAGAACAGGGTCCTAAAAGTGCACTGTGGAGCCCCTTTTGCCCCCGCGCTGTTTCCAGAAGGAGCCCTCGGTTGCCCCTGCCAATTTCGGCGACTCTCCTGCCGGGGCAGGCTTCTTGTTGGGGCAACTGCTTGGAAAACGAAGCCAGCCTTGAAGCCCTGGTTGGGGGCACGTGCACCTTGCCCGTCCCTTACCCTGGATGGGGGCACTGACTAGGTTCCAGCCGGGGTGCCTGGAGGAGGAGGGCGCGGAGGCCAGGAGGAGGAGGGCGCGGAGGAGGGTTTTTGGGCAGAGGAAGGTTGGGAGGGGCAGGGGGACGGGATGGACGGGAGGGGATGGGAATGACGGGGAGGATGGGGCTTTTTGGGGAGGGAGGAGGGGGGTTCAGGGGGGCGGGGGGAAAAAGTGGATGGGGGACGAGGCGATGGAGCAGGAGCCAGGAGCCAGTCGTAGCCAAGCGTGGTCGAGCCAGGGGGGTGAGGGGCGCTTAGGATGCGGACGAGGGGGGCGGCACCATGGTCCGGGGCGCGTTGCGGGGCCCAGGCCCAGTCGGAGCCGGCGAGGTCGTGGATACCCTCGCACATGAAGGCGGAACGGGGGGGGCGGGGGCCATCGTCCTAGTAGGGGTCCTATATGGTCCGACCCGATGTCGATCCACAGGCCAGGGCCAGGCCCGATCCGAGCTCCATCGGTCCGATGCAGCCGATGCGATTCGATTCGAGTTCGACCCCGTTCGATCCGACGCACATTCCGACTTGATCCGGTTCCCCGATTTGTTGTCAATTGTTCCAGCTTCTCAAGGTTGTGATTGCCTACCCTTCGCTCGTTCTTTCGCCTCCCGCCTCGCCCCCCCGTTCGTGCTCCCTCCTGTTGTCTCTGTGGGTCGTCGTCGTCGTCGTCGTCGTTGTCGACGTCTTCTTGGTCATCGTCGGTCGTCGGTTGTTGCCGTCGACGTCCTCCTCCTTGCTCTCGCTCTGGCATGCCAGGGAGTGAAGGTCCTGCGCGTCTGGCAGCGCGTTTCGATGCGAGCTGCTGCTGCCCCTGCCCCTGCCCCTGCCCCTCCCTCCTCGTCCCCCGTCCCTCCCGCTTGGATCCTCCTCCCTCGCCCGCCCTGCCCTGCTCTGCTCCCTCCTCCTCCCTCGCCCCTCCTGCTTCGATCGATCCTCCTCCCTCCCCGTCCCTCCTTCGATCGATCGATCGATCCTCCTCCTGCTTCGATCGATCCTCCTCCTGCTTCGATCGATCCTCCTCCTCCTGCCTCGATCGATCCCCCTGCTCCGTCCTGGGCGCCCTGAGCTCACTCCGCCTCTGGCGGGGGCTCTTCCCTCCCCGCCCCCCTCCCGCGGGAGCGACGGGGGCCAATCGGTGTGCCCACACCCTCTGCGGGGCAGCGGGACGCGCGGGATCCGGTGCTGTGTGGGGACCCATGCCAAGAAGCACCCTGCTTGCCTCCAGGGTGCCCTGGGTTTCTTGGGCTTCGATGGTTTTCCCGTGGGAGGCGCGACGTTCCCGCACCGAAAATCAAGGGACGCCCCGGGGTCTCAGGGTTGGGTTCTTTTGTTGTGGACGGCTTCTTGTGGTCAAGCTCCTCCTGCACTGGTTCCTTCGTGATTCCTTTTTCCCCCTCCTCCCTTCCCCCACCCGACAAGCTGGGGTTGGCTGTCTTTGGTGGCACTGCAGTGGAGGCCCATGCCAAGAAACACCCTGCTCGCCTCCAGGGTGCCCTGGGTTTATTGGGCTTCGATGGTTTTCCCATGGGCAGCGTGACGTTCCCGCACCGAAAATCGATGGACGTCCTGGGGTCTCAGGGTTGGGTTGCTTGTGGGAGGCTTCTTGTGGACTGGCCTCCGCCGTAGCCCCCGACCCGCCGACCCGCCTCGCACATCCTGCCTGCCGCGGCCGCCCGGTCCAGAGGGCGCCAGTGCTCCCTGGGGCTCCCGCCGCATGTCCTCGAGGAAGCCTTGGCACCCCTCGGGCGTGTGGACTTTTTGTTGGGGGGGTTTTGCTCCCTGCTCTGTGCATGCTGGCCAGTTCGCCTGTCGGTTGCCCCGAAGCGCATCTCGCAGGTGCAGTGTACCTCTGCCTCGCCGCCGACGGAACAAGTGCATGTTTTTTCCCGGCAAGAAGCATCGAGGAGCAGTTTGGGGGGTCATCTTGCGACCAAGAAGTGCACAGACGAAGGCGAGCAAAAATGCACGAGGAATGGGCGTCGGGTCCAGAGGGTGCCAATGCTCTCTGGGGACCCCGCATCGTGTCCTCGAGGAGTCTCGGCAGCGCTCGGGCGCGCGTATCATGTTTTTTGGCCGGCAGGAG